AGTCTCACTCTGTCAGGACTAGACTGGAGTGCAGTGGCATGATCTCAGCTCACTATAACCTTCATCTCCCAGGCTCCAGCGACTCTCCTGCCTTAGCCTTCCAAGTAGTTGAGATTATAGGCGGCCACCAACATACTCGACTAATTTTTGTATTTTTAGTAGAGACAGGGTTTCACCATGTTGGGCAGGCTGGTCTCGAACTATTGACCTCAGGTGATCTGGCTGTCTTGGCCTCCCAAAGTGCTGGGACTACAGGCGTGAACCACCACGCCTACCCTCATTTTTTTTTAAGAGATGTCTTGCTATGTTGACCAGGCTGGTCTCAAACTCCTGTGCTCTAGCAATTCTTCCATCTGGGCCTCCCCTATGTGCTGGGATTATAGCCGTGAGCCACCACACCCAGTGCAGAGAGTTTATTTTGTAAGCAATTACTCAACTCTGCCATTGTATCAGGAAAGCTGTCACAGACAGTACAAAAACAAATGAGAATGGCTATGTTCCACTATAATTTTACCCATAGACACTGTCATTTGAATTTCAGATAATTTACACATCATAAAATTGTATTTCTCATTTTTTTCCAACCATTTAAAAATGTAAAAAACATTCTTAGCTCACAAGTCATATAAAAACAGGTGGCAGGCCAGATTTGGCCTACGAGCTGTAGTTTGCCAATCATGAACAAAAACAAAGATATGAATTATATTTATAATAAATATTCTAACCTGGAAGGGCTTTTGGAAAATTTCATCCATTGCCAGACGACCATATTCTGTGAAGAGCTTTAAAAAAGAAGGATTATGGTTTGTAAAGCAAAATTACTTAAAATAGTTCTATGGCTTTTCTTTAGCAAAGTATTCATTAACAGACTGGATACTATCTATATTGAGACCAGAGTTCTATAGTTTCAAATGCCCACAGGAGTCATGAACCTTAAAATCATCTTGGTTATTTCTTGCTCACATCCCACATGTCAATTCATCAGCAAATCCAGAATCCAGCCCCTCACTATTCCCATGTGCCTTGGAATACTGCAATCATCTCCCAACTGGTCTCCCTGCCTCAGCCAGTGCCTCCCTACAGGCTATTCTCAATATAGCAGCCACAGTGACTCTGTTATTATATGGTTAGTTAGATCATACCATGGCTCTGCTCAAAACCCTACAACCTCATTCAGTATAAAAGCCAGTCCTTACAGTGTGATACAGCCACACTGGCCCTCCTTCCTGTTCTTCAAACATGTGGGCATACTACTGCCTTAGGACCTTTGTACTGTTCCTCCCACCAACTCTAAGTTCTCCCAAATATCCTCATGATCAGCTCACATACTTCTTAAGGTCTTTACTCAAATGGCTCCTTCTCAGTGAAGACATCCATGGCCATCTACATAAAAAGACTACAACTTTGCAAATATTTCCCAGTTCATGTCTCAAAAAAAAACTTTGTCTTAACATTTATACATTTATCATTATCTAATATACTATACCCCTTCTTATCTTGATTTGCATCTGTCGTTACTACCAGCATTTAAACTCCATGAGGACAGGAATATTTGCCTGTTTTGTGCACTACAGAATTTCTGAATTTCCAGCAACAAGAAAAGTATTAGGCCCATAGTATTTATGCCATTCATGGCCGGGCACAGTGGCTCACGCCTGTAATCCCAGCACTTCGGGAGGCCGAGGCAGGCGAATCACGAGGTCAGGAGTTCAAGATCAGCCTGACCAACATGGCGAAACCCCATCTCTACTAAAACTACAAAAAATTAGCCGGGCATGGTGGCACGCGCCTGTAATCCCAGCTATTCGGGAGGCTAAGGCAGGAGAATCGCTTGAACCCGGGAAGCAGAGGTTGCAGTGAGCCAAGATCGTGCCATTACACTCCAGCCTGGGCGACAGAGTGAGTGGAGATATATATATATATATACACATGCCATTCAAATGACTGAATTCTGGTTTTTGGGGGGTTCTTTGGTGTTTTTTTGAGACAGAGTTTCTCTCTTGTCATCCAGGCTGGAGTGCAGTGGCATGATCTTGACTCACTGCAATCTCTGCCTCACAGGTACAAGCAATTCTCCTGTCTCAGCCTCCCGATGAGCTGGGATGACAGGCGCACACTACCATGCCCGGCTAATTTTTGTATTTTTAGTAGAGACGGGGTTTCACCATATTGGCCAGGCTGGTCTTGAACTCCTGACCTCAGGTGATCCACCCACCTTGGCTTCCCAAAGTGCTGGGATTACAGACGTGAGCCACCGTGCCTGGCCTAAAATGACTGAATTCTTTAAGGTTAAGGTTTACCTGTATATTTACCACTATTTCTTTGGGAAGCCTCACTAAAAGCGTAAAACAAAGTTTAAAAGTAAATAAATAAATAAACAAATAAATAAACAGGATAAAGAAGCCTGCAGAAAAGAGCTATCAAAAACATTCTGGAGGAAAAATAGACAAATGAGACAAATGAGAACTGTCTCAAGTTTTGGCTTCCTCTGTTCTGCTAAGAAATCTGGAAGAGACAGGGGCCAAACAAGGAATAAGCAGATTCTCTAAGTAGAATGCCTGAAATGCTCAGAAATTATAAGCATGCAGTTACCTTACAAGAGGAGGTGTAGAAGTGCACTGACAACTAGGAACTATGTGAGTCTTAGGAGAAAGCACCTACACTCCCAGGTTCCCTTCTCTCACTCTCATGTGTTTCCTGTCTCCACAGAAGATGGGAATGTAGTATATGAAGATAAATCTCAAAAAAAATCTAGACTTAGACACCAAACTCAGCTGAGGTTACGAGTAAGTCTCCTACCTTCCTGGAAACAGCTATTAAGTCATATTGAGTGGTGGGACTCCTTAGCCTTTTCACCCTACTGGGTACCAGAGCAAGCTTCTACCCACCAAGGCAGGAGTTTAAAGAAATTTTCTCTAGGGAAACTGACAACTCAAGAATAAAGATCTGTAAAAAATGGATATTTGGGAGCTGGAAACAAAATAGCTAGATAACCTTGCCCAACCACCTACCTGATTGTGATCCAAACCAGTACACAAGGCCTATCCTCTTATCGAAGCTCCCAGTTTGTTAGTGGCTCTCTCTTAAACAAGTAGTCAAGGACTACCAGCTAGACATTTGAGAAAAGCCTCTTAGCAGGGCTGGGGGCTATGATTCATGCCTGTAATCCCAGCACTTTGGGAGGCAAAGGCAGGCAGATCACTTCATGTCAAGAGTTCGAGACCAGCTTGGCCAACAGAGCAAAACCCTGTCTCGCTAAAAATACAAAAATTGGGCATGGTGGAGAGCACCTATAATCCCAGCTTCTCAGGAGGCTAAGGCAGGAGAATCGCTTAAGCCTGGGAGGTGGAGGTTTCAGTGAGCTGAGATCGCACCACTGCACTCCAGCCTGGGCAGCAGAGTGAGACTCTGTCTCAAAAAACAAAAAAGAAAGAAAAAGAAAAAGCCAGGCACAGTGGCTCACAACTGTAATCCCGGCACTTTGGGAGGCCAAGGCAGGCAGATCATTTCAGGTCAGGAGCTCGAGACCGGTCTGACCAACATGGTGAAACCCTGTCTCTACTAAAAGTACAAAAAATTTAGCTGAGTATGGTGGTATGCGCCTGCAGTCCCAGCTACTCAGGCAGCCAAGGGAGCAGAGTCACTTGAGCTCAGGAGGCAGAGGATGCAGTGAACCAAGATTGAGCCACTGCACTCCAGCCTGGACGACAGAGGAAGACTCTGTCTCAAAAAAAAAAAATTACTAAAAACACAGGTTAGGTGGGAAACTTATTTGGAAGAAAAACCTGCCTTGAACTGACATGAAGCTTTTTATAGGCTTATTTACCCCCATTTCATTGGTCATGTATTTCATTGCAGAAATATTAATATTCGGGTTCTGCCTAAACATCCACACCCAGCTAATTTTTATATATTTAGTAGAGAAGGGGTTTCACCATGTTTGCCAGGCTGGTCTCGAACTCTGACCTTGTGACTCACCCTCCTCAGCTTCCCAAAGTGCTGGGATTACAGGCATGAGCCACCACACACCCAGCTGTGATTTCTTTAACATCAACATATTTAATCTATCTGGAATTTTTGTATATAGTACAAGGAGAAATATGATTTTTTTTTTGAGACAGAGTCTTACTCTGTTGCCCAGGCTGGAGTGCAGGGGTGTGATCTTGGCTCACTTCAACCTTTGTCTCCTGGGTTCAAGTGATTCTGAGGCTTAGCCTCTCGAGTAGCTGGGATTACAGGCATGTGCCACCACACCCAGCTAATTTTTTTTTTTTTTTTGTACTTTTAGTAGAGATGGGGTTTCAACATGTTGGCCAGGCTGGTCTCAAACTCCCGAACTCAGGTGATCAGCCTGCCTCAGCATCCCAAAGAGGAACAGAATTCCTAACTTATCTAAATACATAGTCAACTATCCTAACACCATTTATTGACTGATCTATTGTTTATGGTATATGCGTATATATTCTTAAGTAGAATAAAATATATGAAAATGTAGTATATCATAAGTATAGCACATTGATCGATTTTTTTCCTGAACCAATGCCATGTTCTTGTAATTATAGATTTATAATATGTACTAAGTCAATTATCTCATGTTTCTCCTACCCCCTGTAATTTCCTTGGCTGTTTTACAATTTAACTTTCCAAATTAATTTCACAACAATTCTGTCAAGTTCCCAAAATAATGCCTTTATGATTTTGTTTAGTGGGGAAGAACTGACAACCTTATAATAGTCTCAAATGAGATA